GAGAGTGACTGGCAGAGTCACCCAAATGGCTTTCACGCCTAAAGCAGGATTAGAACTCATGGTCTCCCAGTTTCTAGCCTGGTATCTTAATCACTATATCAAACTGGCTCTCAATTCCTATACAATGAATTGTCCAAACACATATCTTTCATAGTTATTAATGACAATCTATATGCTAGCCTTATCTTCAGAACATAAATCAAGCCCAAGGACACATATGTTAAGGACTTCAACCAAGTAGAAAAACATGTAATCAGAGTACAAACTAATCATCAAAAACCTACTCAAAAGGAATTTTTCATTACAATTCAGAGATGATGTAGGAAGCATGGTTTTATGGAAGTTTAGCTCTTGAGTTTTAGGTATCAACAAGGAGCAATTACAGCAAGAGTTTTACAAACTTCACATGCAATGGCATTATCCCAGCAAAAAATATCAGGCTAAGCTGCTTCTTAAATAGAAACAATATCTGCCTCTCCCATGTGCAGTTGCCTTTGGCCCTCTATGTGCTGGCCATTTGAGACAACTGGGCAATAGAACTGTCAATCAGAGCATAGACATGCAGAGCAATTGCCCCAATTGATATTCTAGGTAGAACTGAGATTTAGGTTCATGGGCTAGAAGGAAGGGTCTGAATGAAGCTTAGAGATTTAGCACCAGATTAACCTCTATTGGTGACAGTGGCAGGTTTATAAATATATATTTAGTGCCAGGAAAGACAACAATTGACAACCAATAGATAACAGCATATTAAAGGAATCTGTTTACAACCTATTTTAAGTTACTTAATACAGATGGTTCTCAACTAATGGAGTCCCAGATGTCCACTGTAAGTCATGAGAGTAGTAAATTGAGGTACCCATGTGACTGAATGCAATGTTACAGCTTTTTTTTTTTTGTGGTCATTAAGCAAATACAGCACTAATTAAGCCAATTAAGGCATTTCTGTGGGTGTTTTTTTGCTGGAAACCAGCTGAAAAGGCCAGAAACCAGCAAAAAAGTGTCAGAAATTGTGGTCACATGATTGTGGAACACTGCAAGTGGCCATGAGGGTGAGCAGGTTGCCAAGCACTCAAAATACAGTCATATGATTATGGGGGTGGGTGCAGCTGCTGGAACACCAGAACTGGCTTTTGGGAAGATGCATCATAACTTCAATTACTAAGCAACTGATAGTTAAGTGACGACTACCTGTAAAAATTCATAGAGACCTTGTTTAACATTAAGGAAGTAATTTTGCACTTTTGTATCCTGCCCACAGCTTACCTACTCAAATATATCTAAAGAAATAGAGAGACAAACAAAAGCATTTGCAAGTGTTGTAAGCTGCCTGGAGTCACCGTGTATGAGTTGAGCAGCCTTATAAATGTGTCTAATAAATAAATAAACACAGGAGAATGTTTAATGATGGCAACAAAACTAATACATCCTTTAGAGCAGTGTTTTTCAAACATAGCAACTTGAAGATGTGTAGACTTTAACTCCAAGAATTCTTTTTCTAAGAGTTGGCCCACATATCGTCAAATTGCCAAGTCTGAAAAACACTGCTTTGGAGATATTCTGGACTAATGGAATTATTCTTTAATTTTGAAGGAAGCAAGGAAAATAAGAAGAGGACACATTCAACAGGGAGAGAGCATAACTCCCTCTTTAACAATAGCAATAGCACTTAGACTTATATACCGCTTCATAGTGCTTTTACAGCCCTCTCTAAGAGGTTTACAGAGTCAGCATATTGCCCCCAACAATCTAGGTCCTCATTTTACTGACCTGAGAAGGATGGAAGGCTGGGTCAACCTTGAGCCTGGTGAGATTTGAACTGCTGAACTGCAGTTGAAGTGGCCTGAAGTATTGCACTCTAACCACTGCGCCACCTTGGTTCTTTACAGTCTAGTCTCACTAGGTCTGCCTGAAGTGATATAGCCTAGCATTCCTTGGCCACTTGTTAAACCATTTGTTTAAATGCAGATGTCTTCTCCTGATTGTCTTCATCATCTGTAAAGCTCATGAGGCAAAGCATGAATCCAGGAATACAGGCTAGACAACGATAATCCACTTCCCTGCTGCTATCAAGAAATATGTATTGATGTGTTTGTGGTATCACCAAGAATCAAAATAATCTTGATTCTTGGTGCTATCAAGAGCCCTTTGAATTATATCACTAGGTATGGGGTTATTGAAGACTACTGTCAGCTTTTGACCAAAATCAAGAGATTCAGACAGTTCAAATGGGTATAAAGATTTATTGTAAGCTTGAGCTCTCTACAAGAATCTGAACAACAGGTAGTCCTCAATTTACAACCACAATTGAGTCCAAAATTTATGTTGCTAAGTGAGAAATTTGTTAAGTGAGTTTTGCCCCATTTTACGACTCTTCTTGCTACATTTGTTAAGTGAATTGCTGCAATTGTTAAATTAATAACACAGTTGTTAAGTGAATCTAGCTTTCCCATTGATTTTGCTTGTCATGTCACAAAAGGGGATCACAAGACTCCAGGACACTGCAACCGTCATAAATGTGAGTCAGTTCTCAAGGATCCAAATGTAAATAACATGATCATGGGGATGCTGCAACAGTCAGAAGTGTGAAAAATAGTCATGTCACTTTTTTCAGTGCTGTTGTAATGGTCACTAAAAAAACTGTTGTAAATCAAGGACTAGAAGCCAAGGAAAATTAACAGGAGATAAGAATAGAAGGAATTCAAGGTGGGCTGGACTTAGATATCTTGTGAGTGCGAAGGGATTCATGACTGATGACGTGTTTGACCCTTCCCTTGGGCTCAGCCTGGGTATCTCCCACATTGTTCGCATTAAATATATTGAGGAGGACCATGGTGGGAATGACAATTATGAAAAATGGGCAACCAGATTTACCCTTTGAAGGGATTGGAATTTTCCTGATTTTGGAGGTAGTTTTAAGTATTTCTCCCCAATTTTCATCCATTTCATATTTTATGGGAATGTACCAGTGTTTGGCATTCAACCAACTGAACTTCCTTAACAGAGGGAGTTCTGAGAATCACAAAAAAGATCTTTAGGGGCCAAATGTAATCCAGAGGCTTCAAGCCGCCTATTCTTGATAAAAAAATTAAGCAGCCTTTAACAGTTATGTTCTATTCTGGCTACAGAGGAAAAAATGCTACTTTTTTTTGTTTCTTTCATAGTTCTAATGAGTGTATAGCAAACATCTACAGTATATATTACAATATCATCCCACCTCTTCCCCATTAATTTATCTAAGAGATAATATGTATGAGAGTCTAACTTTTTCCAGTCTGGCATCCTTTAGGTATGTAGGCCTACAACACAAAACAGGTTTCTTAGGCTGAAGAGGTTTGGCACTTGGTCCAACATTGCTGAAAAGCACAAGTTGAGATAAATGAATGTTAACTCTTACATTTCAACTAATATAAATAAATTATGAAGAAATAATTTTACATTTGCAAATAAAGTCATTTGAAAATAGGCTGAAAAAGTAAATACAACCCTAAAGAATTCTGTGTGATGAGGACCTATTGCACAATTCTTACCAAGTAAACCTAAATGCTTTTCTTGAGTAACCTCTCCAAGTATTACTATATAATTTCTAAGAAAGCATCACAGGGTTGCCGGGTACATGACTTCAAAATCATCAGCAGAGTGATGTGTCTTAGAACCAAATAGTACATAATACCAAACTTTTTTTAAAAAAAAAATATTTCAACACACTCAGTGTTTCACGTTATTAAAAGCTATTGTCAACTTTTAATTTTGGGATACTAATTTATTTAGGGAGAACCATCCTGAAAAAGATTGTCATGTTTAATGCCTACACATTTGGCCCTGCTTCTGCAACATAGATTCTTAATATTTTAACTTTGTGTTTTTTTAATCTTTTAATTTTTTAGTTGTTTTATAATCTGTAAACCGCTCAGAGTCACCTTGTAAGGGACATGGGTGGCGTAAAATAATAATTTAATTTAATTTATCGCATTTCTATGCCGCCCAACTCCCAAGGGACTCTTGGGAGTCCCTCTTTATTTATAATAATAAATAAATAGATCATAAAGCACATTGAATAGTATTTGTTACTATGATTATGGCAGGCTTGCTATAGAAATAAGTATGCCTATTTAGCAATTTTTCCCAAACGGTTGTCCTTGAAATAGATTGGACTACAGCACCCTTCCTACCCAGCCAACATTGGGCATGAGTTGTAGTCCAATAAAATCTGGCAGATGCTAGATTGGGAAGGCTATCCTTGGAAACAGCACCGTTACTGCACTTATGTACGTGAATATTTATTTCTTTGTTGCATTCATGTATCATTTTTACATGATCTCACAAGACTATAAACAGTGACACACACGCATCCTCATTTGTATCTTCCCAATGAAATTTTGAGGTAGATCAGGCTGAAAAAAAGAGTCATTCAGTAGCTCCACAGCTGAACGTTGCAATCTAAGGCCACCACTTTCTCTCACAAACCCACAGCGTTTTCCTGCTTTTCAAAAATAATACCAATGATACCATAACGTATATTATATAAAGCACATGAAAGCTGGGCTTCTCTCTCCTCGTTCAAATCCAGACAGCGCCTCCCCACCCACCCCTAAAGCCAGGATGTGGCTTTCTGCGTCTAAGGACCAGGGATCAGCGCCCCGAGGAGCACAGCTCGCCGGTCAAGTGCGGACCAGGGAAGCGCCGGGCTCAAAAGGCGCTTTCTGGGGAGAATCCGGCGTCAGCCACAGCAGCGGCAGAATCTTACCCAGCGGAGACGAGAGGCGAGTGACCGCCAGTTACCTCTCTGCAGAGCAGCCAATCTTTATCGCCGCCAGCAGACAAAGCTGCGCCGCCGCTGCCTCCCTTGCCTCTCTACCTGGGCGCTCGCATCCTTCCTCGCCGAAGCCCCCCTAGGCAAACCTAAGCCAGCTCGGCCTGGAAGGAGATGTATGCGGGGGGGGGGGGGGGGGGGGGGATAGAGAGAGACCCGGATAGGCCGAGCACCCCGACCAACTCACCCCGAAAGGGACCGTTTTACTCCTGAATGCCTCCCGAGAATTGGGACGGTGCAGCCGCTGGTGCTTCCCACCGATTCCCGAGAAGTGCTGCAAGAGGCATTTTTCACTCAGCGTCCGGAGCCTTTCCCTGTCGGCGCGAAAGAGGAGAGGGAAGCCAGAGGGGCTGGGGCTGGGTTGGGGCTTATATCCTCCATCCTCCCCTCCCGATCGTTGCCCTTTGGTCCCCAGAGGAGTTGGCCTCGGCGTAAACCTCCTCCTTCTCCTCCTCCCACCCCCCACCCGCCCCCCACCAGCCCATCGCTTGTCATTCGCGCGGTCCTCCAGGCGGACGACACACCGGCTGGCGCTGGTTTTGGCGGCGCCTTTGGAAGCCCCGCGCATGCTCTCGCGCTCCCTCCCGGCCAGTGACTGAAGTCTTTGGTTTTGGAGGGTTGGACCTGCCTGGCCGGCGGCTACTGCATTCCGCTAAGCGGGGCTGGCTAGTCGCTTCTCCAGGCAGGTTAGCGGCGTGAGCTGGTGAGGTTGGGTGGGTAAGAAACACGTACTCGGAGCGATCAAGAAGCACCTCCTTGGTGATGAGGAAGTGGGGAAGTTTGGGCAAGTGGAATGAAGCCTCGGGGGGTGGGGGGAATAAACACTCGAACGACCAGCGAATTTTCCATTCCGGAATAGCTTTTTCACTCTTAGCCTCTTTTTCAAGCCGCGTCTTTCTCACCGGGGACCTGTTGCTTTATTTTCCGAATGGCAAGATGACCGCGGTGAAACTGTGTTGAAACTGTGTATTTGTATTGCGAAGTTTTTTCACAATTAAAAAAAATATGAAGGATTTTCTTGCACCTCCAAAGCTGAGGTGCAGTCCTGTAGTGTATATTGTATTCCTTGGTGGACAGACATACATTTATTCAAGGAAGTAATTGTAGAACCTGGACTCCTTGGTGCTCTGTGTTGATGTCACACTACTCGGTTAGTTGAGTAATGAAATATCTGTGGGCAAACGACCAAACTCTGAGAACACCAAGGACCCACAGCTCAATCCTGAGCTAGATATATTCTTTTCTAGTAGAACCTTTCCCATAAACTCCACTGTGAGGTGCTTAGGTCGGTCTTTTTCTTTCATATATTTGCTGCAACAGTGGGACAACCCTGCACCTAATTTCAAAAGCCTTGCACAAATAATCATTTGACAGTTCTGGCATGGCTGACCTGCTCCTCTGCCAGCTGGGTAGAGGACAAATGAAAGATGGATGAATAAGTGTGAAAACACTTCATCTGATTCTGTCCCATGCCCATTTTTGGCTTTGGCCCCAATCTACAGAGGCAATCCTCAAAAGGCTACCCATGGGATAATTTTTGTTACCATGGGGCCACTGAACAATTTGCCCCTCTCTGTTTTGTAGTAATTTTATTAAACATTACAATTAAAAGACTAAAAACTAGAAAATGAGAGGGAAAAGAAAATTTAGAAAAAATTAAAGAGAAAATAAGCATAGGAAAGAAAAAGAAGAGCTTTTCAGACTCATAAAAGAAATATGAGTCTGAAGCAGAAATATTTTATTTATTTATTTATTTATTTTATTATATTTCTATACCGCCCTTCTCCTGCAGGACTCAGGGCGGTGTACAGCCAGGATAAAACATAGCATATAAAATTTAAAAACATTTTAAAAAACAATTAAATAATTTTGGCCCGAATTTAAAACAACCCAATTAAAACCGAAATTCGATTAAAAAACTAAGGGGATGGGATCAAGCCAGCCCAGCTAGATGGAACAAGTGTGTCTTCAGGGCCCGACGAAAAGTAATTTGAGAAAGCATTTCAGACAGGACTTGCCCTCATTTTCATAAAGAGACAGAGGGAAGAGAGAAGCATATTCAGACTTGCAAGGTTTTGTTACTGTAATTTATAGTAAAAGTAGTAATAACATTCATAACTTTGGCTTCCTAGTCTGGTCTACAACTATTTAAAATAATATGTCTTGTCTACTTAATGTTTCTATTCATACTTGGAATATTCTATTAAGATTCAAATATTCAAATATTAATATTCTATTACACAGTACACAATCAAAATGGCTGTGATGCTGTTATCCTGTTCAGCAAATGGTAGCCATGATGGACTTGCCATAAAACATTCATTAATAAGAAAGGCAAACACTGGTGAGGTATCTTAGCCCATCCCCACTAGTCATGCAGGGTGATTCATTTATCTAGACTAGATAAATGAATCTAGAGCACCAACAAAGCACTGTCTGGAACAATCTACCATTTTCTAAAAGCATCTCTAGAATAAAGGAGTTCCCAGGGAGGAAGTCCAAAAATTCAAGATGGCACCTGCAGCCATGCAACCAGAACTACCATCTTCACCTTTTTGTGCCAGCCTTACCATCACTGCCACCATTCCTGCACAGCCCTCTGGTTTGGGATCTGTGAGGCCAAGGAGAATTCTTGGTCAACATGCTGGAAACCAACGACTATCATAGCAAACCACAATAAAGCCAGAATTACATGAATCTGATATCATCAAATAAATGCTACAATTATATATTTATATCTGGACATCTAAGGAGGTAAGATGTAGCCTTTGCATAATAATATAACGTACCCTGCCCCCATTCCCAATGAACATCCATGTTGGAGACTGGTTCTTTGCAATAGGCCAGCTTTGCAATTATTACTTTTTGATTGTTAAAAAAAAACCTTTAAAAAGATCTTAAGAGAGACACCTCATCTCTTGTTCCTGCTTAGCAATTCCAGATCTGTAGCACCTCCTTTCATTCACTGTGGCTTTTATTTAAAATGCAGCACACAAAGTACATGGTTCAAGTTGTTTCTTAGCACCCACTAATTTGAGATCTGTTAACTGAAGATATAGGGATCAATCTGCTGATTACATGAATTCCATGTGTACTCACCTGCCAAGCTATAACTGCCCTCCTTTAGGTCTTGTTGCAGGTGAGCATGTTTCTAGGAGTGAGTTTCAAGTGGTTCTTTTTGGTGCAAGCAAGTAGTGCAAGCATTTATTGGGAATGGTGGGCAGAACACAAGTGTATACAAGCACAGAGAGAGAGAGAGAGAGCAAGCTTGCTAGCAATAACAATAGCACTTAGACATATTTACTGCTAAACAGTGCTTTATAGACCTCTCTAAATGGTTTACAGAGTCAGCATATTGTCCCCAGCAATCTAGGTTCTCATTTTACCAACCTCAGAAGGATGGACAGCTGAGTCAACCTTGAGCCGGTCCGGACCGAGTTGCTGGCAATTGGCAGAATCAGCCTGTAATAATGTATTCTAACCACTATGCCACATGGCTCTTAGCAAAAGAGCCACATGGCTCTTTAAACAAAAGAGCTTAACTTGAGAAAGAAGCCAAAGAAGCCAAAGAAGCACATAGGTGGCATATTTTGCTAAGAGGTCATCCTGATTCAGACATCACAGAAAGGTGATCAGCTGCTCCACGGTCAGAAAGCCAAAAGTTGAGGGCATATACAAGGTATAAAGGTGCAACATCGAGGGTGGAATATTTTCATATAAAGAATTAGAAGTTGGCAGCTGTTCTAATGTAGGCCAGCCAACAGATCACACCCAATTAAAGACATTGCCATCCTTGTTTTGTGAGGATCCAGTTGGGTGCCTCTCTTTAGCTTTCTACAGTACACAGTACATTCTCAGATAGGAGGCTGCTTAGGACCAGGACCCTGATCATCTGATTTGTGGCACTGATGATAATTGGATTTAGCCTCAGTTGCCCAGTTATTCCCAATTGCTGAGCTTAATGTTCATCCAGAGCAGCTCCTCCACTTCAGAATCCCATAATTCGTAGAAAACCACGACACCTTAAGGTGATCTAGACTCTGGGTCCTCATCCTGGCACCCATAGATGCCAGTGAGTTTTTCTTTGTTGGTGTTCTTGTCCATCTAACTTTTTTTGTTAATCATTCTAGGAGGAGGAGGAGCCAGCAATGTAAAGCACTAATCTGTCTGTTTGCAGTTATGTCTCTGGGCCTCGTAGAGATATCAGATAAATTCTTTGAAAATATAATTAGTGGATGATTGCTGTTCAGGGATTTCTTTGAAAAGTGTCCACCTGCTCAGGAAAAATAAAAAAATTTTAACATGCTGTATAAACACTATATATGATATTGTTCTATAGCTAAGCCATACTTCCACCATGAACTTTTAAATTCATTGCAATGACTAGATTCACACAACATGTTCATTCATTAAAAAGTAAAGAATATTAAAACTTTATTTGATATTTTCTGCTGTTATAGTTTATAAATCATGGTCTAGGGTTTACTGTATTGTATGATTGCAGGTCACCATGGTTTATTAGAAAAATTATGGCTTAGCATGTCTGGTGAATTAAGTAGCCGCCTTTGGGAGTGATTGGGTAACTCCCAAAGAAGTAACTTATATACTGCTTCACAGTGCTTTACAGCCCTCTCTTTACAGAATCAGCATTTTGCCCCCCAACCATCTGGGTTCTCATTTTACTGACCTTGGAAAGCTGGAAGGCTGAGTCAACCTTGAACTGGTGAGAAATGAAATGCTGACAGTTGCCAGAATTAGCCTGCAATACTGCATTCTAACCAGTGTTCCCACCATGGTAATAAAAGTACAAAATAGATGCCCCAAATCCCATGCAAAAACTTCTGTTTTGTACGTTTGAGGAATCCAGAAAGGCAGTAAATACTTGCTACCAAATTTCACTTACATACTGAAATGCATAGACCCTGTGAAAAAAACAGTACCACAAATCACAAGAATTTTATACATTATCTTGGTCAATAATGTTTTGGTCTGATTTTCTGATTCAGCTTGTTATAAGCAAACTAGCCATTGTAGTTTGTAAACCACGTTTTAGAATTCATTGGGTTGTACAAAAACCAGTCATTTGGTGTTTATTTAATAAACAATGGGTAAAGAAACTCTGATTTAGCATGATCTAAATATTGACATCACTGTTTAGAGAGAGAGAGAGAGAGAGTTCAGGTGAATGACCAATGTAAGAGCTACATACAGCATTATCTGTGTAGGAAGACTAAAAGAACTGAATAGTAAATTTTGCCATGTCTTTATTCTTCAGAGTACTGATGACTGGTATCACTGCTGTTGCTTTTTCTCAATTTCCTGGTTGTCCAGAACATCAGTACATCTCGAAGAAGCAGAGTAAACAATCCGCCTGAATAGAGGCATTTGTACTGCTTTGTTTTCTCAATAATTAATATGTCAATAATCAAGTGGGAAAGATCT